ATATATATATATATATATATATATATATATATATATATATATATAATCTTGTTCAAATTTTCAAATGTTAATAAAATATTTTCTATTCATTCATACATTTTTTTAAACTTGTAGTTGATGACACTTGGTGTTAATGCAGTTTTTTTTCATATATTAATTCATTAATTAAATTAAAAAATGAATACATTGTAGCAAACAAAAATAATAGGCCAATAGCATTTGTAGAAAAGAAAGTCGTTATATAGCGCAATGGATAGCCCGTTGGACTTCTAATCCAAAGGTCGTGGGTTCGAATCCCACTTGTCGATGGCCTAATTTCTGAGAATGTGATTATTTTTTACTACACTATTTTATTGGAATAATTAAATTTAATGAATGAATAAATAGTAATAAACAAAACAAAAAAAAATAGTCTAACACCCTATACAGAAAGGAGAATAGCTTTCTATTTTGCCACACTTAATAGTGTGATTCTGTCATATGTATATACATATTTATATTTAATAAAAAGTAACTAAAATAAAATTTTTCTTCGTTGCCCTAAGTAGAAATTGACCTAAAATTTTTCTAATATTTTTTCTTACTTAATTCATTACCAAACTTAGTATTGTACTTACCACAGTATCTTTCATCTGAGGCATCTTTGCAGTCAGCTTCTTTGTCGCATCGCCATGTTAGAGGAATACAACGGAAATCTCCATAGCATTGAAATTCATCGTTCTGGCAAGATCTGAGATCCGTCGCTGAAATAACACAATATCTTTAAATGAGTAAGGATTTAAAGTTATTGATTTTTATAACTTACTTATAGAGAGCTGTTTATAGCATTATGAGATCATTTTCGAAGAAAAGACGTAGTTAGGAGAGGAGGTGCCAGCTCAGGTGTCATTCACGTCACTAGACCATGGTTCAAAATTACGTGGTCTGTCAACAAAAGCCCTTGTATAGCTGAACAGTTTGACTTTAAAATTCCCTCACTCACTCACTCGAAGAAAAGACAAAGAAAAAGATTCACTTGGAGATGACCATTTCCAGCTCACCTCCTCGAATGATGATAAGAACTTAAGGATCCTATGTCTAATATTATAAATTCACGAATATAATGATAGCCCCATGAAATTTCTGATTTCTTCAAATTGAGATTGATCTTGATTTCTCTCTTTCTTTATATAGTATAAAGGGTGGTCCCCCAAATTCATGGTACAAACTTTAAAGGTAGGTAAAGGGCATTGTAACAATCATTTATTGTATAGGAATCTATGGGAGCAAGTGACGCAGTGAGGCACAAATACAAAAAATAAAAGACGAAAAGAAAGACAAAGTGTTTATTGAAAGCGTCGTTGACATGTTTAATGTTTACAATAACTCTTCATAACTGTTCAGCACATGAACTATGAAATCCAGCTGCAGCTCACATTGCTGTACCACTCGCTGGTAGTTGGAGAAGATAGCCTGCTGAATTGAAAGCTTGTACTCGCTGAAAACGGAAGAGGGTAAGAGATTTTCGTTTAACATGGTACAAACGGTCACACTTACGTGATGAGCAATAGCTTTTGTACTTGACTCTAGTCTTACAGCCACAACGTTTAAGATGCTTCTTCCAGGCTTGGACCGCATACAGCTCTTTGTCGATCAGCATCATGTCGGTTTCATGAAGTCGACGATGTAACCGCTGAACAATTCTGTGAAAACGGCATTCGTCGATCAGGAAACTGCTTGTGATACATTTGTAGCGCAGCTCTGTTGTTACCATTTACATGGCCGCACATGTAATGCATGTCTGCATTTTCGTCATACGTTAAGTCTCCTATCATAAGCCTTTGCACAATTGTGAATGGCGCTTTTCCCTACTGAGGTGCATCATGTTGAAAGGCGGCTAGACATCTACTGTCCTCTATCGGTAACGAAACCAACCAATAACTCCATTTCTCTTTTCTTTTATTTCCCCTGTTTACGCCTTACCGCGTCACTTGCGCCCATACGTTTCTTACAATAAATAATTATTACAATGTCTTATATCTACCCTTAAAGTTTGTATCATGAATTTGGGACCACACTGTATAAATAGAGAGAGAGAAAACTGATAGCCCTTAAAGTGTTCTCTGTTACTCCCTATGATGAAATGAAATCACCTCGTGGAGGTGAAACCAGTACTTATTATCGTCATGTCGAGATCAGGTAAAATAATCTCAAAAATATTTCCATTCCTTTCGAATTTTATTTCCGTAGTTCTATGTGCATATCATTCAAAATAATTACATCTACAAGTACAGTTATTAAAAAACATTGATGTTAAAAAACGAAACCAATTATTTTTTCTAAAAAAGAAAGATTCGTGAACAGGTTTTTAAAATAAAATAAGTGGGGGGGGAAACCACGCATGTGTTTAATATAACCTTAGTGTTTATTACTCCAATTACTGATGAAAAGTAATTTTTAAAGGTAATAGTAATAAAAAAAATTCGTAAATGAAGATATTAGAGATTTTATAAAAAATGATGGTTTTAATAGTCCCTAAGAATTTTCTCCAAAGAAATATTTCTCTGATGCAACATAATGCCGATAGTGCTCATAATTTTGAATCACAATCAATGATGCACCTCCCGCAATTACAAGAGATTTGACAACCAATTTAATTTGACAGCAGCCTTCATCATTTCACTCTACAGCCTTCGGGGAATCCAGCTTCAAATTGGCCACCACAAAATCCACTATTTGGCCGAATAATGAAATGTTTTGTTAAACTAAACAATTAGAATGTGCAATTAACATCACTATATACCAGGAGCAGAAACACTGACGCACGTATTACTGATTGTTTACACTTAGCAATACGCTTAAACATACTATAACCCTTGACTTGTGTTCCATCATTATTATGTAGCTTAGGGGTAGGAAACCTTTTAGCTGTGGTTAGCCAAACCAATTCACCAATAGGAATTAGTGTGCCACACAAGACATTTTTTAAACAATTTTATCCCCTGATAACGCATGCAGAATTGGAAAATAAAGGTCAATAATACAGATAGACATTTTTATAAAAAATCAATGTTGCATCATTTAAAGATATTTTTAACATAAAAATAAACAGCATAAAATATAACAATTTCAACAAAAATAAAAAATAAAAATTGTACATGTATTATGTATTTTTTTAAACATATTTTTATTAATGTAAGAAATAGACAACGTAAAATATAAGTATTACCCTTCATTAGGGTTAAATAAGATAAACAAATATTTTAATGCAAAAGTAGTACTTTCACGGCTCTACTTTCATATCGCTACATCTGGGGAATAATGTGTGACTTTCAATTTGACACGATTTTGAACATCCAGTTGTTAAACAATTTCTTTTCGGACTCGAAATATTTTCATATAAAATATTTTTTACTTGGATATATAGAACTCAAAGCGGAAAGCAGAGTACATACAATTTTCTCTCTTCAAACGATTAAATCTCTCCAGCAATGATATTCAATAATTTACAAAAAAAATAGCTGTATATTTAACTTTAGAGTTATCTTTCAGAATTTTTCGTAATTCCGTAAATATCCATAATTCTGAAGATGTTTGTCAAATAAGGTCCATTACAAATACATCAACTTCCATCCACTTAAAAATTGGCAAATTTGTAGAGTAGTGCAGCGTGCCACATGTGGCATGCGTGCCATAGGTTGCCGACCCCTGATGTAGCCTTTTCGATGAAATGTTAGTCTTTCTGAGGATCTACGGTTCTGTTGAATTTTCGTTAAAGTGCAACAATTTAAAGACCAAAGATGTGTAATTGAGCACATTTTTGAACAGGTGATAACAAAATATTAGATAAAGCTGGATGTCCATTTCAAATACACAATAAATTACTAGATATTTTAAGGGGGAAAGAATTACCTTGATAAAGAATGTGAATAAATAGTATATTATAGGGATCACTTTTAAGAAATAAAAGGGGAATACAAAAAATTATGTAAAAATTAACTTGATTATATGTCATGCACAAGGATATCATCGAGAGTAAATTTAAAAAAATATTCCTACGTTAATATTTGAAAATTAACACATATTGATATTGCTTTTTAGGGTCAGTTTTCATTGATGATGATGGACTACCCGAAGAGGACAAAAATTTCCGTATTTATAATGTTCACTTAAATGAAATATAAAAGAAGTGTAGTCGAAAACTAAAAAAATGTGAACCGCTTACGGAGGGAGGAAGGGCAATGAAAAATATGAACTTTTTTGAATATTTCTGAAACTGTTTATGGAATTCGAAAGAAATTATGTTGATTAATTGTTTATAAACATCTCTCTTTAAAGCTCCGTGAGGGCTACAGGTGACAAATACATTACTTTTTATCCACGATCAAGTCACTTGGACGACATCTGAACTAGCACTTCCTTCTCCAAACTTCCTCACCACGCCAAAGTGAGTCTCGACAGATTTTAAGTACATCTTTCTTCTACACGACGGGTAATGGAAATTAACAGCAAAGATTAGCGAGAAATTTTTTATAAGTTAATTAACTACGCTGAAGCCTAGTGGCTGGCTGAGTGGTAGCGTATCGCGCTTCCAAGCCATAGGTCGAGGGTTCAAAACCCCAGCTGGGAAAGGTCGACTGAGCTTTTCATTCCTTCAGTGGGTCGGTAAATGAATACCAAACTTGTTTGGGAGATAAGCAACGGAGATTTCGTGTCAGACTGACCACCTGACCAGAACATTTGCCCATGCACCTCAGTGCTCAAGATCATGAAAACTGAGATGGTATAGTAGGCCTTGGCTTTCATGGGCTGTTGTGCTACTGAATTTAGTTTAATTAACAGTGCTACATTGATTACGATAGTTAATAATTAATTGTTATAATTTAATTCTATTTCAGGCATTAAGACTTGCATCAATGTTGTCCAACTGCGATGAAAGTTATTAAGAATGTCTTTTTTTTTTAAGACTATTCGTTAAATGAATTCCAATTTCATAAATGAGCTTGTAGAAACTCGGCTCTGAAATTGGTTAGGTTAAAAAACACTTTAACGTATCTGATTCGCCCACCATTTTGGATACATGTAGCTTAGCCACTACTGTTTTTTTTAAAAAAAAGTTTAAGCTTTACGAGTAGCAATTCCGTGTGCATTAATTTCATAACAGATGGATGTCGATCTAAGCAATATTCCCGCCATTGCATTCTATTCTGTTTTCAAATGAAAAATAAATGTTGCTTTAGTTGTGGTTGAACATTCTGAGAGTCTTGGAACTTTCAACGGTAAAAAAGTGTTTTGCAAGATTTTGTGATGAAATTTTAGTCTCGGGTACA